ACCCTTTGCCACCGTCTACTGGATTGACAGGCCACAGTGATAAGCCTGCAGAAGTGGGACCCATCGGGAGTGGGATCCATTCTATCAAATGGTGGCTCCTGAACAAATTGGGCTTGAACACTATAGTGATGGAATTTCATTAGGTTTATTGCTCAGTCACGTCACTCCACCCATTGCCACCGTTTGCTGGATTGATAGATCACAGTGATAAGCCTGCAGAAGTGAGACCCATCGGAAGTGGGACCCTTTCTTTCAAATGGTGGCTCCTGCTACAAGTTTGGCTTGAACATTAAAAGTGACTAAATTTCTTTAGGATTATTGCTTAGTCAATCACTCCACCCATTGCTGCTGTCTACTGGGTTGACAGGTCACAGTGATAAGCCTGCAGAAGTGGGACCCATTGGGAGTGGGACACATTCTATCAAATGGTGGCTCCTGCTACAAATTAGGCTTGAACACTAAAGTAGTGGAAATTCTTTAGGTTTATTGCTCAGTCACATCACTCCAACCGTTGCCACCGTCTACTTGATTGACAGGTCGCAGTGATAAGCCTGCAGAAGTGAGACCCATCGGGAGTGGGACCCTTTCTATCAAATGGTGGCTCCTGCTACAAGTTGGGCTTGATCATTAAAAGTGACGGAATTTCTTTAGGGTTATTGCTAAATCACATCACTCCACCCATTGCCACCGTCTACTGGATTGACAGGTCGCAGTGATAAGCCTGTAGAAGTGGGATCCATTGGGAGTGGGATCCAATGAAAGTGGGACTCATTCTATCAAATGGTGGTTCCTGAACAAATTGGGCTTGAACACTATAGTAATGGAATTTCATTAGGTTTATTGCTCAGTCATGTCACTCCACCCATTGCCACCGTCTACTGGATTGACAGGTTGCAGTGATAAGCCTGCAGAAGTGAGACCCATCGGGAGTGGGACCCATTCTATCAAATGGTGGCTCCTACTACAAGCTGGGCTTGAACATTAAAGGTGACGGAATTTCATTAGGGTTATTGCTCAGGCACATCACTCCACCCATTGCCACCATCTACTGGATTGACAGATCTCAGTGATAAGCCTGCAGAAGTGGGATCCTATGGAAGTGGGACTCATTGGGAGTGGGACCCATTCTATCAAATGGTGGCTCCTGCTGCAAATTGGGCTTGAACACTAAAGTAGTGGAATTTTCATTTGGTTTATTGCTCAGTCACATCACTCCACCTTTGCTACCGTCTACTGGATTGACAAGTCGCAGTGATAAGCATGCAGAAGTGGGATCCAATGGAAGTGGGACCCATTGAGAGTGGGAACCATTTTATCAGATAGTGGCTCCTGCTACAAATTGGGCTTGAACATTAAAAGTGACAGAATTTCTTTAGGGTTATTGCTCAGTCACATCACTCCACCCATTGCCACCGTCTACTGGATTGACAGGTCACAGTGATAAGCCTGCAGAAGTGGGACCCATTGGGAGTGGGATCCAATGGAAGTGGGACTCATTCTATCAAATGGTGGCTCCTGAACAAATTGGGCTTGAACACTATAGTGATTGAATTTCATTAGGTTAATTGCTCAGTCACATCACTCCACCCATTGCCACCGTCTACTGGATTGACAAGTTACAGTGATGAGCCTGTAGAAGTGGGATCCATTAGAAGTGGGATCCATTAGAAGTGGGATCCATTGGGAGTGGGATCCAATGGAAGTGGGACTCATTCTATCAAATGGTGGCTCCTGAACAAATTGGGCTTGAACACTAAAGTAGTGGAATTTTTGTTAGGTTTATTGCTCAGTCACATCACTCCACCCATTGCCACCGTCTACTTGATTGACAGGTTACCGTGATGAGCCTGCAGAAGCGGGATCCATTGGGAGTGGGATCCAATGGAAGTGGGACTCATTCTATCAAATGGTGGCTCCTGAACAAATTGGGCTTGAACACTAAAGTAGTGGAATTTTTATTAGGTTTATTGCTCAGTCACATCACTCCACCCATTGCCACCGTCTACTGGATTGACAGGTTACCGTGATGAGCCTGCAGAAGCGGGATCCATTGGGAGTGGGATCCAATGTAAGTGGGACTCATTCTATCAAATGGTGGCTCCTGAACAAATTGGGCTTGAACACTAAAGTAGTGGAATTTTTATTAGGTTTATTGCTCAGTCACATCACTCCACCCATTGCCACCGTCTACTGGATTGAGAGGTTGCAGTGATGAGCCTGCAGAAGTGGGATCCATTGGGAGTGGGATCCAATTGGAGTGGGAACTATTGTATCAAACGGTGTCTTCTGCAAATTGGGCTGAATCTGTGATGAAGTGTATTTGTTTCATTTACTTGTTTAGAAATACAAAAGAATGCAAACGGTCAGAGCTCGAGCGTGGACAGTATACAGTACCGCTGATTGATTTTTTCCATCCAACATTCATCTGAGTCATTTTTATAGGCATGCAGAAGAGCACATAATATCCACAGCCTTACAGCTCTCTCCAGACTGGAGGAGCCTTGTGCAACTCTATAGATAGCATGCTGGACTTGTGATATCTTCACTAAGGGCCCTTTCACAGTTGAAAAATTACCAAATTTTTTTCACCATTGAAAATATGCGTAAACGCATATTCGGTTGTGGTTCTTTTTCTGGTTGCCTGACTCCAAACCTGTATCTATGAAAATGGATATCTCACTCAAAAAGTACACCCAAAACACAGCTGTGGTGCTTTTTTTTTTTTCTTTCTTCAATGGGGAGGTGCATTTTGGTGATCCTTTTAACCACTTCCAGTCTGGGCCAATTCTGACATTCCTCTCCTACGTGTAAAAAGCATGAATTTTTTTTTTTTTAATAGAAAACAGCTTAGAACCATCAAACATTATATATATTTTTTAGCAGAGGCCCTAAAGAATAAAATGGTGGGCATTGCATATTTTTATGTCACACAATATTTGCACAGAGTTTTGTCAAACGTAAATTTAAAAAAAAAATACTTTAATGGATTTGAATGCACAAAAAACACAATATAATACCCAATTGTTTGGTAGACTATAAAAGATGATGTGACGCTGGGTAAATAAATACCAAACATGTCATATATAAAAACTGCCTCTGCCTCTGCCTGTGGTACGGCGCCAAATTATGGTACCGAAAAATCTCACGTGTGGTGCAATCACTCTTTACATATGCTTGTGGGGCCTATGTGCACGCTCATATTTGCCCATGAGCACGGAGGGAACGGAGGCACTTTAAAAAAAATGTTTTTTTATTTCATTTTTTTTTTTTTTTAACACTGTAACTTTAACTTTTTTTCTTTTTAGCAACTTTATTAAAGGTATGAACAACATCCGTTGTATTACTATGGGCCATGACAGGTCCTCTTTATGGAATGATCAGAGGTCTGTTAGACCCCACATGTCTCCTCTAGCCTCCAGTGCTGTAGATCAGACACAATTCGGTCTGATCGTCTGCTTTCCTGGCCGGTAACGGCCAGGTAAACAAATAACCGAAACAGGAAGTGACTAAATTCTCGTCACTTCCTGTTTCTGATGTCACACAGTGGGAGGAACATCCGTTCCTCTCACTGTATGCCGCTGGTTGCATCCTTGCCAGGCTCTCCAATCGCATGGGAGAGCCCAGTAAATGCAGGGGAAGGGGGTGGAGCTTGTGAAAGTATTCCAGCGGCTAATTAGCCACTTGGATTACTTTTACTTTGTAGAAAATTATGCCTCGTTCATTGCTACAGTGATGACTAAGATATCTCTCTCCCTGTGTTCACTCTTCCAAGGACATTTATAAGCGTACTGTGGATGGGAAGTGGTTAAACACCTGATGTTAGGGGGGCGCTCTGATGGGGACCCTGATGTAAGGGGGAATTCTGATGGGGACCGTGATGCAAGGGGCCTTTTTGATGGGGACCATGATGTAAGTGGGCATTCTGATGGGGACTGATTTAAGGGGGCATTCTGATGGGGACCATGATGTAAGGGGGCATTCTGATGGGGACTGTGATGTAAGGAGGCATTCTGATGGGGACTGTGATGTAAGGAGGCATTCTGATGGGGACTGTGATGTAAGAAGGCATTCTGATGGGGGACCATGATGTAAGGAGGCATTCTGATGGGGACTGTGATGTAAGGAGGCATTCTGATGGGGACTGTGATGTAAGGGGGCATTCTGATGGGGACCGTGATGTAAGGGGCATTCTGATGGGGACCATGATGTAAGGGGGCATTCTGATGGGGACCATGATGTAAGGGGGCATTCTGATGGGGACTGTGATGTAAGGGGGCACTGATGGGGACTGTGATGTAAGGGGGCACTGATCGGGACCCTGATGTAAGGGGGCATTCTGATGGGGGCTATGATGTAAGGGGGTACTCTGATGGGAAGCTGATGTAAGGGGGCACTCTGATGGGGACCCTGATGTAAAGGGGCACTCTGATGGGGAACCTGATGTAAGGGGGCACTCTGATGGGGACCCGATGTAAGGGGCACTCTGATGGGGACCCGATGTAAGGGGGCACTCTGATGGGAACCTGGTGTAAAGGGGCACTCTGATGGGGACACCCTCTCCAGGGGTAACAGATAACAATACTAGGACTCCTCGGCTTATCCACCCTCTCAAGGGGTACCAGATGACAAAACTAGGACTCCTCGGATTATCCACCCTCTCCAGGGGTACCAGATGACGATTCTAGGACTCCCAACGGCCACACTTTCATGTATAAATACCCATTAGATTCAGCAGTCCCTGGTGTAATGTGTACAGTGAGTCCTGATTCTGATGGATATTCGGAAATGAAAGCACGGCTGTTGGGGGACTATTATTGCATTAAACAACATTCTCGGTTTTCTTTCCTCTTTATTCTGATTTCTCTGCTTTTTACCTTTCTCATCAGTTATTGTCCCTTTGCAGTTGTTTGTAGATGGTCCGTAGTGATTCTTCCTGTCTACAGTGACCAGTCCTTCCTCTGGTTTGTAGTGCTGTCTAACCTCCTTTTCTTACCTCTCAGGGCATTTGGGGTTTGAGAACAGCTTCACAAATATTGAAAACAGAAGAAACATACAGAACCAGCAAGTGGCACACAGGGAGCCTCCGCCACCACCCCCACCCCCGCTGGAAAGGCGGTAATGTGTATTGGCATGCTAATGTAAACCTGATTTAGTCCTAGGCAATAAACAGAGCGTGTGCTGATCATAAATGATGCTAAACATACAATGTTTAACCGCTTCCCATCCGCCCTATAGCAGAAATACTGCTACAGGGCGGCACGGGTGCGCAAAATCATGTATATATATAATCAGCTGTCAATCACCGAGACCCGGCTGGTAATTACTCGCTGGCGCCCAGTGATTTCCAACGATCACAGACTGGGAGGAGGACTGTTTTGTTTAGTAATAGTCCTCCTATCTGGCAGCTCGGTGCACACTGCTCTGGATGGCTGTGCACAGTAGTACCGCCATCCCGATCAGTGTGCTTACAGTGAAACACCAACACACCACCCCCTAGTAAAACACTCCCAGCACACAGTTTACCCTTTGATCGCCCCAAATGTTAACCCCTTCCTGCCCAGTGCCATTAGTACAGTGTCAGTGCTTTTTTTGGCAGTGATCGCTGTATTGGTTTTACTGGGGATGTCAGTGACACCAAGTTAGTTTCCTCCCAGGGTCAGAATGTCCGCCGCAGTCCCACTATAAGTCGCTGATCTCCGACATTACTAGAAGAAAAAACAAACTACGTGTCCAGGTTGGCCAGAACTACGTCTTTCGGTTGGCCAGAACTACATGTCCCAGGGGGTCCGGTGATGTATAGTGCGCATCCCTTTCACTTCAGTCCAGGAGAGGAGACGGTACAACTGTGTAAGACTGAAAGTGAAAGCCGGGAGGTCAGATTCAATTGTTTTTCTGACCTCGGCTATAATGCGCAGTGTGTTTTCCCTCTCTAAGGGAAGCTCATCCTGTACTGTGCCCCAGTCTCATCAATCTTCTCTTCTTTGCAGGCCTTCTCAGTCGAGAGATCCCCCAGGACGGGAAAAGCCACAAATGTCCAACACCATGCGGAAGTTGTTTGTGCCCGCCAGCCAGTCCGGACAGAGGGAGGGACTGATAAAGCACATCCTGACCAAGAAGGAGAATGAATACGTCAACATTGAGAACTACAAGTATGTGGATCGGGGATATCTTTCTGTCTGGTGTAGACCGGCTTGGAGGGGGAAGGGAGCGAAGCAGCGGGTCTTCTTTTGAGGGAAGTTTTCCTTAGCCTCTTCAGCTCTGAAAGGTTTTATCTCCTTCATGATCAGGTCACATTTTGCTATTCAGCACTGTGCTACTTAACCACTTCACGTCCAGCCCATGTACATAAACGGCCGGACGGGAGCAGTGCAGGGGCAGGTTGCCGTTTATAAACGGTGGCTGCAATTACAGCCTGTGTGCGCTCTCTGGGAGCTAAAAGTCTTCTTTAACCACTTCCCATCCAGCCCATGTACATAAACGGCTGGACGGGAGCAGTGCAGGACTGGGTGCCTCTGCATTCACTGCCTGTGCACGGGGCCTGGGAGCGTGCGGCACCACAATCCGGTGCCCGCTGTGTCCTCCGGACACAGCAGAACACCGATCACGGTACGGGACCTCTGTGTGAGGTCCCGATTCATGTGATCATTGATTGGCCAATCAGTGATCACAGGAACAGTAGTAAACAAGATGCCACTTCCTGACCTCATTGCTTACTACTAGTGAAATCTGTGAATGATCACATGGTACAGGGCTATTCACAACAGCCTTCTAACATGTGACAAGCTGTGACCAATCGCATCTCGCACAGTATGCAGCCAGAGAGGAGGAGAAATTATTGCTTTTACAGCCTTTATGGGTGTAAAAGCAATCAGTGTAGGAAAAAAAAAAATCTTCATCACCCCCCACAAGTAGTACAGTGTCACTATGGTGACACTGTACTGCTAGGGTGACAGTATGTAAAAAAAAAAATATATATAAAAAAATTAAAAAAAAAATTGAAAAATTATCATTTTTTGGTTATTTTGTTTTAACTAAAAAGATAGCTGAATACATTTTGGCCAAGATTTTTTAAAGAAAAATTATTTATTTGCAAAATTTTATAAGAAAAACTTTTTTTTCAAACTGTTTGGACTTTTTCATTTAATAAGCAAAAAAATAAAAATCCCCAGCGGTGAATAAATACCACCAAAATAGTTTTATCTGTCTCAAAAAAATGCTAAAAAAGTCCTATGGGTACAGTGTTGCATGACCGCGCAATTGTCAATCAATGTGTGATAGCGCTGAAAGCTGAAACTTGGCCTGGACAGGAAGGGGGTGAAAGTGTCCGGACTGGAAGGGGGTGAAAGTGTCCGGACTGGAAGGGGGTGAAAGTGTCCGGACTGGAAGGGGGTAAAAGTGTCCGGACTGGAAGGGGGTGAAAGTGTCCGGACTGGAAGGGGGGTGAAAGTGTCCGGACTGGAAGGGGGGGAAAGTGTCCAGACTGGAAGGGGGTGAAAGTGTCCGGACAGGAAGGGGGGGAAAGTGTCCGGACTGGAAGGTGGGGAAAGTGTCCGGACTGGAAGGGAGGAAAAGTGTCCGGACAGGGACAGGAAGGGGGGAAAGTGTCCGGACTGGAAAGGGGGGAAAGTGTCTGGACTGGAAGGGGGGGAAAGTGTCTGGACTGGAAGGGGGGGGGGGGGGGAGTGTCTGGACTGGAAGGGGGGGGGGGGGAAATGTCTGGACTGGAAGGGGGGGGGGGGAAGTGTCCGGACTGGAAGGGGGGGAAGTGTCCGGACTGGAAGGGGGGGAAAGTGTCCGGACTGGAAAGGGGGAAAGTGTCTGGACTGGAAGGGGGGGGGGGGGGGGAGTGTCTGGACTGGAAGGGGGGGGGGAAATGTCTGGACTGGAAGGGGGGGGGGGGGGGGGGGGAAGTGTCCGGACTGGAATGGGGGGGGAAGTGTCCGGACTGGAAGGGGGGGAAAGTGTCCTGACTGGAAGGGGGGGAAAGTGTCCGGACTGGAAGGGGGGAAAGTGTCCGGACTGGAAGGGGGGGAAAGTGTCCGGACTGGAAGGGGGGGAAAGTGTCCGGACTGGAAGTGGTTAAAGTGGAATTAAACGCTAAAACTAGCTAAGCTTAAAGGAGAAGTTCACTTCTTGCAGCCATTAAGAAATACTGTATGTGAGCTGTGATTGGTCACAGCTTGTCACATAGTACAAAGCTGTTGTGAATAGTCCTGTACCATGTGATCTCTGTGATTTCACTAGTAGTAAGCAATGATGTCAGGAAGTGACATCGTGTTTACTACTGTTCCTGTGATCACTGATTGGCCAATCAGTGATCACATGAATCGGGACCTCACACAGAAGTCCTGTACAGCCATCGGTGTTCTGCTGTGTTCTCCGGACACAGCGGGCACTGGATTGCGGTGCCGCGCGCTCTCAGGGAGCACGCACAGGCAGTGAATGCGGAGGCACCCACTCCTGCACTGCTCCCGTCCGGCCGTTTGTGTACATGGGCCAGACGGGAAGTGGTTAAAGAAGACTTTTAGCTGCTGGTTTTCAGCTTCCAGGCCTCATCTGTAAAGGGGAATGTTACTAGAGTCGTCCTTCACAATAAAATGAGGCTTGTTTGTGAATTCCAGATAACTCAGCTGTGTGTGACCTCCCCGCTGAGGAATGTCTCATCCTGTCTTTTAGGTTCTTTATAGGAACGTGGAATGTAAACGGTCAGTCTCCAGATGGGGGATTAGAACCCTGGCTGCACGCGGATCCAGAGCCCCCAGATGTCTACGTCATTGGGTGAGCATACAAGGACATCTGTTTTTTTGTTTTTTTTTCTTTATTTTTATTTCATTTCATTTTAGGCCTTGCACACGGGGTGTCAGAAAAAGTCCCTCTGAACTCCAAAACTGCTGGCAAAAAAAGTGTCATAAAAAAAGCACTAAAAGCTGCGTATAGCACACACGTTTATGCATGTATAGCATTTGAATGTAAATGCAATCTACTGGCCAGAATATTCATTTTATTCTGGCCATTGAAATGCCTTGATGCGTTTTTAGGCACGTTCATGCATTTTTTTTTTAATGTCTTTTTTCATGCCTGAAAATGCTTCTCTTCTAATATGCGTATAAACATGTACATTGCATGTGTCCATGCACACATGGGGGGAATGGGGTGATTTACCAAAATAGAAGAACTGTCTGTGCGCTCAGTCTGGTGCAGCTGTGCGTAGTAAACTAATCAGGTTGCTAACTTCAGCTTGTTCAATTAAGCATTGGCATTTTGGACCACTAAAAGCTGTAGAAGCCGATTGGTTTGTATGCAGAGCTGCGCCAGGATTCTGTGCGCTGTGCTGTTGCAGGTTTTAGTAAGCCTGGGTTTCCCAGTGCATCACACTTGCTTTGGGTCTTCCTTGCAACATCCATTCCTTTGCGGAACTTCAGTTGGCGGACAGATGGTCGTACGTTTTTCTGCAAAATGTCTTGATGCGGTGCGGAACATCGCACGTGATTCGCACAGTCCACAGTAACCCACCGCATTCCTGCTGCAAATCACATGCGAATTCTTTTTGTGGTGTGGTGTCAATTTGAGCCATACATTTTGTACGGATTTCTGTCAGATCGCACCATATCTGCGCTCCAAAAAACGCCTAGTGCAGTGACTCTTTTTTTGTCGCACTAGAATCGGATTACATGGGTATTTTGTACACCCAGTGCGCTCCGATTGTAGGTCTGCACATCGCACATCATACGTTTTGCGAACCCCAAAACAGATGTTCGTTTTTTAAGGGCAGGACATTGTTAACATACACGGGAGTATTCACTCCCAATTAGCGATCCGATTAAGCTGCACATCTTTTTCCTCCCTGCACTGCGTTTTGCGAACCGATTTATGTTCGCAGACTGGTTCTTCTATTGTTAACATACACAGAGCACATTTTATTCATGCAAAACTCCACCTAATGCCATTCAAATACTTTTTTCTGCAACTGTATGTGTCACACACATGCGGGGTGGGGGATTTACCAAAACCGATGCACTTCAGTGTGGTGTGCGTAAATACCAGGTGCACACCCAATTGCGATCAGCATTCAATAAAACATCGCAAGCCGCGTTTTGCGAACCAGATTCTCGTCCAGGTGTTGTTAACATATTGGTGCTTTTTACATTGCTGCAAAAATGGCAAATCATTGAATGCACGCATTATCTTCTTTTTTTTTTTTTTTGGCATTAGGGATTATTAGGTGCGCCTCCTGGCCCTTTAAGAGTTTCACACCCAATGCACAGGTCATCACCGCATTCCTGTGCAAATCACATGCACTGGCGTTTTTGAGCCAACATTTTGTACGGGTCAGATCGCACCATATCTGCTCCAAAAAAGTGCAGGACTCTTTTTTTCGTACACTAGAATATTACATGGGTATTCACAATGCGCTCCGATTCTGCACATCGCACTGCGTTTTGCGAACCGATGTCATGGCATTGTTAACATACACGGTATTCACACCCAATGCGATCCAATTCTGCACATCACACACTGCGTTTTGCGAACCGATTTCGGGGTGTTGTTAACATACACACCCGCAACAGTTCGCATGAACAGGGTGTGATTGTGATGCGGTTCGGAATTCACACAGAAACCGCTGCAAATTCTGCACCGCATCAGTGTGAACCCGGGCCAAATCTCCAAAGGTTTACATAATGGTGCTTTTACATGCTGAAAAAAAAACATTGAATGCCTATAAATGCGGCTTTCTTCTTTTTTTTTTTTTGCTCCATGTACATGAGGGATTATTAACCTCTTAGCACCTCCTGGCCCTTTAAGAGTTTCAGAAGTCGGGAGGTGGGCGGGGTTTTGGGGTCATGTGACCGCCGTGATTCGCCGTCACGGCAGTCACATGATCAGAAAATGTCCCAATATTGTAAAGCTCTGAGCAAACTGGCGCTATATAAATCCTGTATAATAATATAATAATCCTGTATAATAATATAAATCCTGTATAATAATAATAAATCCTGTATAATAATAATATAAATCCTGTAATATAAATCCTGTATAATATAATAATAATAATAATATAAATCCTGTATAATATTAATAATATAAATCCTGTATAATAATAATATAAATCCTGTATAAATATTTAATAATATAAAAATCCTGTATAATAATAATATAAATCCTGTATAATAATAATAATATAAATCCTGTATAATATTAATAATATAAATCCTGTATAATAATAATATAGATCCTGTATAATAATAATAATAATATAAATCCTGTATAAATAATAATAAAATAAATCCTGTATAATAATATAAATCCTGTATATATAATATATAAATCCTGTATAATAATAAATCCTGTATAATAATTAATCCTGTATATATAAATAAATCCTGTATAATAATAATATAAATCCTGTATAATATTAATAATATAAATCCTGTATAATAAAATAATATAAATCCTGTATAATATAATAATATACCTGTATAATATCCTGTATAATATAATAATAAATATATAATAATCCCTGTATAATAATAATATAAATCCTGTATAATAATAATAATATAAATCCTGTATAATATAATAATAATATAAATCCTGTATAATATAATAATAATATAAAATCCTGTATAATAATAATATATAATCCTGTATAATAATAATAATATAAATCCTGTATAATATAATAATCCTGTAAATAATATAAAATCCTGTATAATAATATAAATATTATATAATAAATAAATCCTGTATAATATAATAATAATCCTGTATTATAATAATAATAATAAATCATTAATAATAATAATAATCATTAGTTACAAGTTTTGACTACTCAAAATAAGGAACTGATAAGGAAGGAATTGTACTCATATCTGGATTCTTTATGTGAACTTTTCATCTGATGAATACAGAGGAAGTCTTTGTCTCCTTTATCTGATTCACTATCACACATGCAGCTAAAGTGGAAGACGCAGAACCGGTTTTTGTTTTTATATTATTTTATTTTTTATGATTACACACTGTTCACCATGATAAAATGTCTACCTTTTTCATGATCTATGTGATCTAATAAATACAATTTTGCATTCACTAGTTTAGTGATTATTACTCAGCATAGGATTTATTACAAACCACTTTCTGGCAGGTCTGCACTAGTCAGCTGCAATTTTGTTCTTATAAGCTTTTTGGTTTAAAATCCACACTCTATACATGTAGTAAGACGGGGATATTGAAAGATCAGGTGATTGCACCTAATTATGATGTCAACTTTTCCTCTTTATAATGGCTATTAACCACTTGCCCTCCAGAGAATTTACCCCCCTTCTTCCTGACCAGGCCATTTTGTGCAATACGGCACTGCGTTACTTATTTATTTCAGGTACTTATATAGCGCCGTCAATTTACGCAGCACTTTACATATATATTGTGCATTCACATCAGTCCCTGACCCTCAAGGGGCGTACAATCTAATGTTTAACTGACAATTGCGCGGTCATGCAATACTGCACCCAAATGAAATTTATGTCCTTTTTTCCCACAAATAGAGCTTTATTTCGGTAGTATTTGATTCATAAAATAAAGTGAGCGCTTCCTAATAATATTATTATTATTAATAATACAGTGTGTGTGTGTGTGTGTGTGGTGTGTGTGTGTGCGTGTGTGTGTGTGCGTTCGTTCGTTCGTTCGTTCCAGCCGCTAATTACTTGCCAGTGCCCGGTGATTTCAGAGGATTTCTGACGGGGACTGTTTTGTTTTCTAACAGTCTTAGTATAGACTTCCTCTGTATTCATCAGATGAAAAGTTCACATAAAGAATCCACATATGAGTACAATTCCTTCCTTATCAGTTCCTTTTTTTGAGTAGTCAAAACTTGTATAATGATGATTATTATGATACAGGATTTATATTATTATTATTATACAGGATTTATATTATTACACAGGATTTATATTATTATTATTTCACAGGATTTATATTATTATTATTACACAGGATTTATATTATTATTATTTACACAGGATTTATATTATTATTATTACACAGGATTTATATTATTATTATTTACACAGGATTTATATTATTATTATTATTACACAGGATTTATATTATTATTATTACACAGGATTTATATTATTATTACACAGGATTTATAGTTTTTATTATTATTATACAGGATAGTCAAAATTATTATTACACAGGATTTATATTATTTATTATTATTATTACACAGGATTTATATTATTATTACACAGGATTTATATTATTATTATTATTATTACACAGGATTTATATTATTATTACACAGGATTTATATTATTATTATTATTATTACACAGGATTTATATTATTATTATTATTACACAGGATTTATATTATTATTATTATTATTATTATACAGGATTTATATTATTATTATTACACAGGATTTATATTATTATTATTATTATTATTACACAGGATTTATATTATTATTATTACACAGGATTTATATTATTATTATTATTATTATTATTACACAGGATTTATATTATTATTACACAGGATTTATATTTTTATTATTATTATTCTTTATACAGGATTTATATTATTATTACACAGGATTTATATTATTATTATTATTATTATTACACAGGATTTATATTATTATTACACAGGATTTATATTATTATTATTATTACACAGGATTTATATTATTATTACACAGGATTTATATTATTATTATTATTATTATTATTACACAGGATTTATGTTGTTATTATTACACAGGATTTATATTTTTATTATTATTATTATTACAGGATTTATATTATTATTATTATTACACAGGATTTATATTATTATTACACAGGATTTATATTATTATTATTATTACACAGGATTTATATTATTATAATTATTATACAGGATTTATATTATTATTATACAGGATTTATATTGTTATTATTACACAGGATTTATATTATTATTACACAGGATTTATATATTATTATTATTATTATTATACAGGATTTATATTATTATTAATAATAATATCTAGGTAACCAAATAAAACCCAAAAGTACAATACATATAGTAAAGTGCAGCGCTGGATAATCAATACGATAACGATAAGGTCTTTGGTGTAGATAAGTCCGTGGGCATATGTGTAATCCGAGTGAGCCAGATGATCAGGATGGTAGTGCTCAAGAAATGAGGTAAAAAGTATTACCAGATGCGCATAGAATATGCGCATTAATATATCCGCCTCAAAAAGAGGTATGGCAGGTGAGGGTCTTCCTTCAAGGAATGGACAGCAGTAGGTGGGTGAAGACTGTAAATCCAGAGGTCTCCTTTAGGTTAGACTGGGTCTGCAACCTGCTTACAGAGATTCCCTTCCTCTGGGTACTGTGTCATTCAGCAAAACTCCACTGGTAGTGTTTGATTGCCTCTGCGGTTTTTTTATCTTTTGCGCTATAAACCAAAAAAGACCGACAATTTAAAAAACATTTGACTTTTTGCTATTAAACATGTCCAGTAAAAAAAATTAAAAAAATCAAATTCTGTCATAAAAACACCCCGACATCGATCCGCAAAATGTGCGATGTGCAGAATCGAATCGCATAGGTGTGAATACCCATGCCATCCGATTCTAGTGCGGACCCAAAAAAGGGTCACGCATGTTTTTAGTGCGGGTGCAGTGCGAATAGAGCCTTACAAAATGTACGGCGCCGATCGCACCGCACACAAATCGCATGTGATTTGTACAGGAATGCGCTGCGGGATTTACCGCGCCATTGTAGTGTGAACCTAGGCTAAGGGTTGAACAGTTGTTTGAGATGACTGGTGTCAGTGGCGGGCCGCGTCCCCTTGGTGCGCACAGAGGGTGACATAATAAATGTTTGTGGACGGTGACACGTAGGCGAGGCTTGTCTCGGCACGGCTCTGACATAATGCTGTGTGTGTGTTTCAGATTCCAGGAGCTGGACCTCAGCACAGAAGCCTTCTTCTACTTCGACTCAGGAAAGGAACAGGAGTGGCTGGAGGCTGTAGAGAGGAGCCTCCACCCCAAAGCCAAATATAAGAAAGTGAGTCCATAGACACTGCTGGGCCCGAGGACACCGCTGCAGAAACTGAGAGCGCAGTCAGCCCGCGGCGTGAGCGACTCCTATGGAAACTTTTACTCAGCACGCTGCTAAATGCTAAACTCTGCTGGGAAAACTAAAAGCACCTTTGTGAATGTCATGTCTGTCCTGGCATCCGTATGGAATGTTTTTTTTAACCACTTCCTTACCGGGCACTTATACCCCCTTCCTGCCCAGGCCAATTTTCAGCTTTTAGCGCTGTCGCACTTTGAATGACAATTGCGCGGTCATGCAGCACTGTACCCATATGAAATTTTTATCATTTTATTGAGACAGATAAAGCTTTATTTTGGTGGTATTTATTCACCACCGGGATTTTTATTTTTTTTCTTCATAAATGAAAAAGTCCAAACAGTGTGAAAAAAAGTTTTTCTTATAAAATTTTGCAAATAAATAATTTTTCTTTAAAAATCTTGGCCAAAATGTATTCAGCTATCTTTTTAGCATTTTTTTGAGACAGATAGAGCTTTCTTTTGGTGGTATTTAATCACCTTTTTTTTTTTTTGCTAAACAAACCAAAAACCACTGAAAATTTTGAAAAAAAAAAGTTTTTTCTTAGTTTTTGTTATTAAATTTTGTAAATAAGTGATTTTTCTCCTTCACTGATGTGTGCTAATGAGGCTGCAGTGATCGGCACTGATAGGTGCACTGATGGACACTGATGAGGAGGCACTGGTAGCTGGCACTGATGGGCATTGACAGGCATCACTGATGGGCACTGAAAGGCAGCACTCACATATGGCACTGACTGGCACTGTTAGGCGGCACTGACTGGCATTGATAGGTGGCACTGACTGGCACTGATAGGTAACACTGAAAGGCAGCTCAGATGGGCACTGACATGTGGCATGGATGTGACACTGATGGGCACTGGCAGGTGGTACTGCTGGGGCTACACAGATGATCAGGGTACACTGATCATCAGTGCCCTGATGATCAGTGTAGATGTCCCCTCTGAGTAAAGCCGATTACTGGCTCTCCTCTCCTTTCCTCTGACAGCGTGACGTCTCGTGAGGAGAGAAATGCAGATAACCGGCATTTCCCTATTTACATGTGATCAGCTGTGATTGGATACAGCTGATCACATGACCGAGCCGACATCTTCGGCTCTTTCCGCTGATAGGTGATCTGCTGTATCCGAGGGACACAGCGCACCGCCGATCGCCGCGCTGTGCACTCCCGGAGCCGCACATGCGCGGTTAGAATGAGAGGACGTCATATGACGTCCTCCCAGAACGAGAGAACCACCTTGCACCCGTCGTTATACTATATGGCGGGCGGGAGGTGGTTAAAATAGTGCTGCAGCAACTAAGGCGGCTTTCAGACTGATCCGCTTTTGGTGCGTTCTTCAATTAAAAAAAAAAAAAAAAGCGGAAGAAATCTGCATCACATTAAATCCTCTGTAGCTCTTCATACTGGTCCGTTGTGCTCCAGTTGCAGGTAAAAATTAATCCTGCTTGCTGCATTTTTGGTCCGGTAAAAAAAAAAACCGCATCAAAAATGCATCCTTCCATGGAAATGAATGGAAAACGCATCAAAAATGCAACGCACCTGGGGGAAGTTTTCAGGCCCCGGTTATAGAATCGCATGAGAAGGGAAATCGCATTGTATTCAATGGTGCCCTTCTAATCAACTCAGCACAGTGCGATTTTGGAGGTTCCTAATGGACTTCAGTGCGATTTCAGCCCCATAGACTTCTATGTTATCACAGAAGTCGCATCAGTATAGATAGAAAGCATTCCTATGTGACTTTGATGAATTAATGTTTTTTTTTTTGTTTTTTTAACCCTCACCTCTTATCCCTGGTCATCCTTCATCCATGAATTTTGCTACAGCTGCGATTTTTGGATTACTTTCTTCGATCGATTAACCCTTCAATCAATCAGTTAACCCTTCTATTTTATATAATTGACCTTTCTGTCGATCGATCAGTCCTTCCTTAAATCGATTGTTTGATTGATCCTTCAAATGATCCTTCCTTCAGTCTATCCAATGATCCTTCCTTCAGTCTATCCAATGATCCTTCATCCAATGATCCTTCCTTCAGTCTATCCAATGATCCTTCCTTCAGTCTATCCATTGGTCCTTCCTTCAATCTATCCAATGATCCTTCCTTCAATCTATCCAATGATCCTTCCTTCAATCTATCCATTGATCCTTCCTTCAATCTATAGATTGGTCCTTCCTTCAATCTATCCAGATTGGTCCTTCCTTCAATCTATAGATTGATCCTTCCTTCAATCTATAGATTGATCCTTCCTTCAATCTATAGATTGGTCCTTCCTTCAATCTATAGATTGGTCCTTCCTTCAATCTAATTGGTCCTTCCTTCAATCTATAGATGGTCCTTCCTTCAATCTATAGATTGGTCCTTCCTTCAATCTATAGATTGGTCCTTCCTTCAATCTATAGATTGGTCCTTCCTTCAATCTATCCATTGGTCCTTCCTTCAATCTATCCATTGGTCCTTCCTTCAATCTATCCATTGGTCCTTCCTTCAATCTATCCATTGGTCCTTCCTTCAATCTATCCATTGGTCCTTCCTTCAATCTATCCATTGGTCCTTCCTTTCAATCTGTCCATTGGTCCTTCCTTCAATCTGTCCATTGGTCCTTCCTTCAATCTGTCCATTGGTCCTTCCTTCAATCTGTCCATTGGTCCTTCCTTCAATCTGTCCATTGGTCCTTCCTTCAATCTATCCATTGGTCCTTCCTTCAATCTATCCATTGGTCCTTCCTTCAATCTATCCATTGGTCCTTCCTTCAATCTATCCATTGGTCCTTCCTTCAATCTTTCCATTGGTCCTTCCTTCAATCTATCCATTGATCCTTCCTTCAATCTATCCATTGGTCCTTCCTTCAATCTATCCATTGGTCCTTCCTTCAATCTATCCATTGGTCCTTCCTTCAATCTATCCATTGGTCCTTCCTTCAATCTATCATTGATCCTTCCTTCAATCTATCCATTGGTCCTTCCTTCAGTCTATCCATTGATCCCTTCAATCTATCCAATGATCCTTCCTTCAATCTATCCATTGATCCTTCCTTCAATCTATCCAATTGAACCTTCCTTCAATCTATCCAATGATCCTTCCTTCAATCTATCCAATGATCCTTCCTTCAGTCTATCCAATGATCCTTCCTTCAATCTATCCAATGATCCTTCCTTCACTCTATCCAATGATCCTTCCTTCACTCTATCCAATGATCCTTCCTTCAATCTATCCAATGATCCTTCCTTCAATCTATCCAATGATCCTTCCTTCAATCTATCCAATGATCCTTCCTTCAATCTATCCATTGATCCCTCCGTCAGTCTATCCATTGATCCTTCCTTCAGTCTATCCATTGATCCTTCCTTCCTTCATCTATCCATTGATCCTTCAATCTTCCATTGATCCTTCCTTCAGTCTATCCATTGATCCTTCCTTCAGTCTTTCCATTGATCCTTCCTTCAATCTATCCATTGATCCTTCCTTTAGTCTATCCATTGATCCTTCTTGCAGTCTATCCATTGATCCTTTACTTCAGTCGACCAGTCCTTCATTCAATTGAAGAAAGGATTGAATGATAAAAGGAAGAATCGATCGGTCGAAAAAAGGAAGGATCAATTGATCGATAAAAGAAAGAAACAAAACTGCTGCAGTGTGAACGTAGGTTTTAGGCGGCAAGGATGAGGGAGGAGAGGTCAAGGTTAAAAAAAAAAAAAAACACCATGAAAATCGCATAGGCATGTTTCTTATCAATACTGATGCGACTTCTGTGAGATAACATAGAAGTCTATGGGGCTGAAATTGCAATGAAGTTAGAATATAATGGGGTTTCTCTTGTTATGCAGTTCTGTGAAGCCAGGCTTGAGAACATCTAAAGTCACAATGAAGTCTCATCAATAGTCGCACTGAAAATCGCATTAGAATAACGATGCGGGGAAAACGCAAAGCAAACGGCAAAAAACGCATAAATTTAACGCAATGCAGGAAAATCGCAGCATATACATTTTTGATGCGTTTTTCATACAGAGCAGTGTGAAAGTAGCCTCCTTCTTCTCTGCTTACCACAAATCATTATAATTAATTTTCCGTTTGTAAGGCTACGTTTACAGAGGCAACAGCCGTTGCCGCCCCTCTGAAAAGCAATCTGCTGTGAATCGCTTTTCAGAGACATTTGACAGGCGGTGAGAAAGCAATATGTTGCCTCCTCACCACCTGCTTTAACCTTGCAAATTGCGTTCCGTACACAAGGTTGTGGCACAGCCCCATTCACTTGAATGGGTCGTGTTCAGCAACGGTAGCACCATCTATGACGGGTGGATAGTTTTTGTTGCAGGCAAAGCATTGTGGCCATGGCATGTGTATGCCCCCATCTGGCTGCCTTTGCATCTTAACCACCTCCCGTCTGGCTGTTGTATATAAACGGCCAGAGGGTGGCAGTGCAGGGTCGTGTGGCCGTTTATAATGGGCCTCCCCGCACCCTGCTTGTGCGCGCTCCCTGGGAGCGTGCAGCACCACGTTCTGGTGCCCGCTGTATCCTCCGGACACAGTGGAACGCCGATTGTCGGATGGGACCTCTGTGTGAGGTCCCGATCATGTGATGCAAAGCCTTTTCCATGTATTCAAATGGACCCGGTACACCAGCGCAGTCAGTTCCAGGTTTTGCGTGAAGGAAAAATGGTAGAACGCGACGCATTATGCTCATCATGGGATCCATAGTGAATACAACCAGAAAAGACAGCGAATCTCAACACATACTGCTCTCTCTGCTTCTACTCTCTCTATTTCTCTCAAAATGTCTGAAATTTTTTTTACTGTTTTTCATTGCATTCTGGGCATTTTGAAAGGTCTCCTGTTGTTATCTTTAACCACTTGCCATCCAGCTGCTATATATAAACGGCCAGACGGTGGCAGTCCAGGGGCGGGTTGCCGTTCATAAACGGCGCCCGCCATT